CATGCCCAGACCTTTAACAGAGATGATGTGCGTGTTTTGTATCTGACCCTCTTCATACTTTCAGGGATAATGCAGGTAGCATCGGCCTTCGTTAAAAGCAAAGATCTGCTATTAAGCGCTGAGAGTAGAAAGCCTTTTGTCGAAGCTTGTTCTCCTTTGCTTCCTTCCCTTCCTTTCCGACGGCTGAAATAGGCACCACAAAGCTGGTTTTTTAATCGCACTCCTGCCCCTGCATTTTTCCAACCCAATTAGGCCATTACCAGGGCTAAATGAGGCATAGAGCCTCCAAAAGTCACACCGTCGTCCCGGAGATGGAACGTGTGTTGCCGTGGACTTGGCAGGGAGGTGAGCTGGCTGATGCTCACTGGAGGGTGACCCGAGGTGTTTGCGCATTCCAGCTTGTGCAGAAAGATCACCTTCACAGAGAGAAAGTGTAACCAATATATATAAAAAATACACTTCCAAAAATTATTTTAAGGGACGTCGTGCGCTTAAGCAGGGCTGCCCTCATTACTGTCCATTGGTTAGGATCCCAGGTAGAGTCGGGTATTAACAAATTATTGGTACGGGCTGCAATAAGAAGAATTAAAGTTGCTATGCTGTACCGTTTCTGCTTTCAGACCTATGCTCTCTGCTACTCAGAGCTATTGTGGATTTGTCTGCTGGGGGGCGGGGCACGTGAGTCTAGGATCCTTTGACCTGCCCCACCTATTCAACAACATTCTTAGTCCTTTCTTTGTAGGACTGTCTGGCTACAGAAGTGAAAAATGATGCATGTTGTGGCAAAAATATCTCAATTTCACATATATGCTCATGGGGTCTGAACTTGCAGTGACAGACCAGGAGTAAGAACTTAGGGTCATAGTGTTTGAAACGCAGACATATAATTTGTTGTTGTTTAGTCATGTCCGACTCTTCGTGAGCCCCTGGACCAGAGCACGCCAGGCACTCCTGTCTCCCACTGCCTCCCACAGTTTGGTCAAACTCATGTTAGTAGCTTCGAGAACACTGTCCAACCATCTCATCCTCTGTCGTCAACTTCTCCTTGGGCCCTCCATCTTTCCCAACATCAGGGTCTTTTCCAGGGAGTCTTCTCTTCTCATGAGGTGGCCAAAGTCTTGGAGCCTCAGCTTCAGGATCTGTCCTTCCAGTGAGCACTCAGGGCTGATTTCCTTAAGAATGGAGAGGTTTGATCTTCTTGCAGTCCATGGGACTCTCAAGAGTCTCCTCCAGCACCAGAATTCAAAAGCATCCATTCTTAGGCGATCAGCCTTCTTGATGGTCCAGCTCTCACTTCCATACATCACTACCGGGAAAACCATGGCTTTAACTATTCGGACCTTTGTTGGCAAGGTGATGTCTCTGCTTTTTAAGCTAGGCACCAAATGGCTCCTTAAACCAGGTTTGCAGTTGCGAAAACGGAATGCCTAGTTGCCATTTTGGGGCCGGATGGCTTGAAAGTTGTATTTTTCAGTATAGTTTTTGGTTCCTGAGATTCATTCTGTGCAGATAAAATATAATGAATAGAATTCTAGAGGATGTGTTGCTAGTGTGGGAAAACAGTCAAGATCCAAGGATCTGCTGGCATGCACCTCCAGTTGGTGGAGACATCAGGCGCCATCCTGGTACCTGGGCTTCTTCACTTGGTTGCAAGTGGCCGATTGCAAGGTGCACAATGTGCCTGGTGAATTTCCAACGCTGGTCATAGTAGATAGCTTAATGAAGAGGCCGACCCAGTGTGCATTGGCCTTGAAGGAGGCAGATTCCATACTAGGGATCCTTGGGAAATGAATTGAAAAATAAAACTGCCAATATCATAACACCATTATACAAATCTATGTTGTGAACAGATAGCTCAGTTGGTAAAGCATGAGACTCTTCATCTCAAGGCTGTGGGTTCAAGACCCATATTGGGTGAAATATATATTATAGGGGGTTGGACTAGATGACCCTCATGGTCCCTTCCAACTCTACAATTCTATGATTCTGTGAATGCATTTGGAATACTGTATACAGTTCTGGTCACCTCAAGAAGGATATTGCAAAGTTGAGAAAGGTTCAGAAAAGGGCAACCAAAATGATCAATCGGGTGACCTATTAAAGAAAGGTTGCAGGATTTGGGACTTGTTAGTTTAGATAAAAAGCAAGGAAGAAACAACATGATAGTAGTTTATGAAATTGTGCATGGAGAAAATAGATAGAGAAGAGGTGTTTTCTGTCTCTCATAACACTAGAGCTCATGGACCTGCAGTGAAACTGAACGTGTGAGGATTCAGGACAGATAGAAGAAAGGACTTCTTCTCGCAGCACATAGCTAAACTATGCTTCTGCATACCAGTTGCTGGGAAGTGTGCAGTGGAAGAGTGCTCTGGTGCTTTGAGGAAGTGCACAGGAATTAGTTTATATTCTGCCTTTCTCTCACCTTGGGACCCAAGGCAGCTGACATGTGGTTCCCAGACCATCATCTATCCAGGCACCAACCATACCTTGACCTGCTCAGCTTCAGTAAGGTGGTGGTCTCTTGGTCTTCAGACCACACTTTAGAAGTGTGTGTCCATAGGAGGGTGTTACCAGGGTGGGGAGGGGTCTGGGAACCATGTCCTCTGAGGAACTGGAGGGGCAACATCCCTAGACCTCCACCATCTATTTTATGGAAAGTGATCATGTGATCAGCCTGCTCTCAAAGCAGCTTGCAGTTGAGTTCAGTAGACAACTATTGAATCTAACTGTGTCCATCACACCCGCAATTAATCCTGTTGTAAGGAAAATGCAGGTTATTAGGAGATTTGATAGCTGAGAAAGAAAGTGCAGGTGATGGAGGTGGTTCTTCCTCTCCCCAATGGTTTGATGCTTTTTATTGATGTATATACTTTTGCTTTGTTTGAGATTTTTTGAATCATGATGCTTGTGTATGCCCCTTTTGAGCTGTAAAAAGAAGGCAATAATAATAATAATAATAATAATAATAATAATAATAATAATAATAAATTCACTCTTTGTGCGGGTCTTCTTGTTTCAGATTTTTCATCTTCTTCTAAGGAGCAACCATGATTAGGGTTGGAATGGCAGAGAATGTGGTGATGATGATGATGATGATGATGATGATAAATGTATACCCCGCCCATCTGGCTGGGCTTCCCCAGCCACTGGGCAGCTTCCAAAAAAACATTAAAATACTGTAATACATCAGACATTAAAAACTTCCGTAACAGGGCTGCCTTCAGATGTCTTCTGAAAGTCTGGTAGTTGTTCTTCTCTTTGACATCTGGTGGGAGGGCGTTCCACAGGGAGGGTGCCCCTACCGAGAAGGCCCTCTGCCTGGTTCCCTATAACTTGGCTTCTCGCAGCGAGGGAACCGCCAGAAGGCCCTCGGAGCTGGACCTCAGTGTTCGGGCAGAACGATGGGGGTGGTGACGCTCCTTCAGGTATACTGGACCGAGGCCATTTAGGGCTTTAAAGGTTAGCACCAACACTTTGAATTGTGCTCGGAAACGTGCTGTGCCATGACTGGACTTGGGTTTGTCATGAACTGGTTGCATGGCATTGGCAAGGCACTTTCTCTCTGCCTCGGTTCCACAATCATAGTAGCAATGACCAACATCATAGAGATGTCTTGAGGCCAAACACAACAAGGGTTGGAGGGTCATGTACAAATTATTAATGGAGCTGGTGGCTAAGTTTTAAAACCCTGAACCTGAAAAAGCCACCTTTTACCACACAAACCTGTCCAAACACTACATTTATCTGCAACTCCCTGCTCCAATCAGCGTCCTCACTCTCCCATACTTGACAAGGGCTTACTGGGGAGAGTGCTCTGGTGGTTGTGGCACCACTTATGCGAAATGCCCCTCCTAGCCTGTCCCCAAATGTTGTGTCTTTTCTGCGCCAGGCAGAGACCCTCCTCTTTGTCCAGGCTTTCCAATAGGGTTGTGTACAGGTTTTAGTGGCTGTGCTGTTCTGTTGAATTCTATTTATTTGACTTGACTTGCTGTTTTCGATTTTTAAAAATTCATTTCATTGCATTTTCTCCTTGTCACTTTTAACATGTGGGCTGCCTGAGGTGTTTTGCACTGTAGGTAGCCTATAAATATGTTTAACAGCAAAATAATGAAGGACTTTGAGATCAGAGATGTGAGCTGTGGACATCATGATTTGTAACCTGACTTCAGGGGTGATTCTGTTGACAGCCGTAAGGGGCCCTGGTGATTGCCCGTAAGGGGCAACTGATGAGTTGCTTTCCCCCACCACAATGCAACTTATGGAAACAAACTTTAAAACCATGTACTGTATATTATCAAAAGACTCAGGAGAAAGAAACTGAATGAATCTGTAAGCTGCGTAGTGCAGTGGTTTCCAATCCCAAACCTTTTCACCCTCATGGACCCCTTTAAAATTGCTGGTGGGCTTGACGGGTCAGTTGCTGATCTTTCCGCCTGTTATAGAAGTTGCAATATGCTGTGCTTGGTGCTCTGTGATTTTTAACTGTGTTTTCATTGCTTCTTTTCTTATTCAGTGGTACCTCAGGTTACAAACTTAATTGGTTCCGGAGGTCCGTTCTTCACCTGAAACTGTTCTTAACCTGAGGTACCACTTTAGCTAATGGGGCTTCCTGCTGCCGCCGTGCCACCGCACAGTTTCTGTTCTCATCCTGAGGTAAAGTTCTTAACCCAAGGTACTATTTCCGGGTTAGCGGAGTCTGTAACCCAAGGTGTTTGTAACCTGAGATACCGCTGTATTGAATTCAAACTGTAATACAATAAAATACAGCAGAAGTAAAAGAAGCAAGAAAAAATACAGTGAAAATCAATATGAATGTTGAGTGCTGACATGCCACAGACCACCCAACTGATGCTCACAAACCACTGGTGGGTCATGGACCACAATTTGGGAAGTCCTGCATCCCTTATTTTTAAGGCGATGGTATTGGGGAAGAGGCACAGTCTATGGACAGCTCAGAGTGCACCTGAGATAACTTTTTTACATCTCCATTTTCTTTTTAGGGGGTCTTGAAGATGGGCTCCATCTAACAAGCAACAAGGAAGCAAGAAACTGCTGGATTGGGTCAATTGCAATGGAGAAGACCACTGAGGAGATGGTGGAACTATGGCTGCTATCCTGTGGCTTACCGTACACCAAGCATCCCCACCAGATCCGCAGTGCGCAGTGTTCAGAAGTGAAAAGGCTTGCTGAAGGTTATTAGGCCTGCTCCTCTTGTGTGGCCATTTTGAAGTTTGCAACCTCTGTCCCTCGTGAAAAGGAGGAACGATGACTTTTTATAGTTTCTGTTTGCTCCTCTTTGCGTTTACTTGGAATACCTCTGCCTATGCCTATGGACCGAATCAAAGGGCACAGAAGAAGGGAGACATTATTCTTGGGGGGCTGTTCCCCATTCATTTTGGAGTGGCTGCTAAACACCAGGATCTGAAATCAAGACCAGAATCCGTTGAATGCATAAGGTGAGCCCAAGCGAAAATTTGTTAGCAGTCGCTCACTCCCAAAGCCTGCTACCCACCAAGATCAAACTAAGTGCTATATTGCTAAGTAGTAAAGCCTTCTTCTGTTGTTATTTAAGTGGCCCAGCTTTCCAAGGCTGCAATCCTAATATACATTTAATAAATGAATGCTTTTTAGTTTCTGCCCAGGAACTGTTGGAATCGACCTTTAGAGGGAGCCTCCATAAAAATAGCAACTTGGTAGCCAGGGGACATGGGTGGCGCTGTGGGTTAAACCACAGAGCCTAGGGCTTGCCGATCAGAAGGTTGGCAGTTCGAATCCCCACAACGGGGTTAGCTCCCGTTGCTCGGTCCAGCTCCTGCCAACCTAGCAGTTCGAAAGCACGTCAAAGTGCAAGTAGATAAATAGGTACCGCTCTGGCGGGAAGGTAAACAGTGTTTCCGTGCGCTGCTCTGGTTCGCCAGAAGAGGCTCAATCATGCTGTCCACATGACCCGGAAGCTGTATGCCGGCTCCCTCGGCCATTAAAGCAAGATAAGCACCGCAACCCCAGAGTCGGTCACGACTGGACCTAATGGTCAGGGGTCCCTTTACCTTTAGCCAGTGGCTACGATTAGGGTGTTGGCTTCTGCTGAGGCTCTCCAAGACTCCAGCAAGACTGATGTGAAAAAAGGGAAAGATCGCAGCCTACGAAAGAGCCATGGGGGACATAAGACTATAAATAGAATTATTATTTCCCTGCTTCCCGCCCCTACCCGGTTTTGTGAACAATCAGAACGGTGTCTGATAAGTTTGCATGCCCTGAAATGAAGTTTTACAGTTGATCTGTAGCTCTGGAAAAAAAGTGAATGTACATTTCAGTAGCTGGAGAAGGCTCCCAAACTCTGTTGCAATTCTTGCCCCTGCAAATGTGTAGGCTGAAAGGTTCTTTACCCGCCACTGATATAGCACAGTGGTGGGCAAAGAAACTACAGATCAGCTGCGAAACTTCATTTCAGGGCATGCAAACTTACCAGACATGGTAATATATACATAATCACCTCCTCCTTTGCTCCCACAGCAGGCAAAATTGGAGCAAAGTGCATTGGGAGCACTGAGGGAGGGTGGAGGAGATTAAAACTACCGTATTTTTCACTCCATAGGGCACACCGGACCATAGGGCGCACCTAGTTTTAGCGGGGGAAATCAAGAAAAAAAATCCCGCTTGCTGTTTTGGCTTCCTCTTTAGCCCCACGCAACCTTTCCCTGCCGGAGGGGCTGCGCAGGGCTATCCCTGAAGCGTGGAGAGCGAGAGGGGTCGGTGCGCACCGACGCCTCTTGCTCTCCAGGCTTCAGCGAAAGCCGCGCGCTCTTTAAAGGGGTTGCGTGGCTTCTCCTGGCTTTTCTGGGAGGTGGGAGAAGGGACTGATGCGGCCAGTTAGTCCCTTCTCCCTCCTGGGGAAAAGCCCGCAAGAGCGCACGGGGCTTGTGTGCGGCTCTTGTGAGCTTTTCCCGCCTGCCTCCCCCCTGCATTCGCTCCATAGGACGCACAGACTTTCTCCCTTTGTTTTTAAGAGGGAAAAAGTGTGCCCTATAGAGCGAAAAATACGGTACCTTGCTATTACTGGCCTGAGTCTGAGAGCTTTCCGCAGATGTGGGTGCTGTTGCCCTGCATTCTGTTAGTGACTCGTGGAGGTCAGCAATTGGAGTGCTTGAAGCCGATTGGTTTTAGCACCATCACAAAAGTTCCTCTTTATGCAAATAATTATTCGGATTGACTAGGGGTCCAGGTGGCTAGGATAACTCCTAATGGGAAGAATAATAGTTTTCCAGCCTACCTCTTGGAATCTACTTCCCCAAATGACTAGAACCATGGCAGTGAAGTGCCTGCCCTCCCCCTGCATGTGCTATCTCTAGGAACAGGCATCCCCAAACTTGGCCCTCCAGCTGTTTCGGAACTACAACTCCCATCATCCCTAGCTAACAGGACCAGTGGTCAAGGATGATGGGAATTGTAGTCCCAAAACAGCTGGAGGGCCGAGTTTGGGGATGTCTGCCTAAGAAGCAGTTCCAGAAGAATACCTTGGTCAATAGCTATTTTTTAAAAATTGAGAGGTCCAGAAGAATCAACAACGTTACACATATCGCCTGTCACTATCAGAATTAATCTTGGTCGGTTTCAGCATGTATGAAATGGCCAGTTTTTCTGCAGTTTTGAGTTTGAGTTTTGAGTTTGAGTTTTGTGTTTACTTCTTTGAAATGAATAGAATCATAGCTCTTTGATGGAAATATAGACTTTGGCCATGCTCCTCAGTTTACTCAGACACTTGTTCTTCGCTCTTTTCCCCACCTTCAAGCCAGTTGTCATTATTTTAATTTCCCCCCTCTTTTCCGTAGGTATAATTTTCGTGGTTTCCGTTGGCTTCAGGCCATGATCTTTGCCATTGAGGAAATTAATAACAGCCCAACGCTTCTTCCCAACATGACTCTTGGATACAGCATATTTGATACCTGCAACACCGTCTCCAAAGCCCTGGAAGCCACGCTGAGTTTTGTGGCCCAAAACAAGATAGACTCTCTGAATCTGGATGAGTTCTGCAATTGCTCAGAGCACATTCCCTCCACAATCGCGGTGGTGGGAGCAACTGGTTCGGGGATCTCTACTGCCGTGGCCAATCTTCTGGGTCTCTTTTACATACCTCAGGTACTGAATATCGGCTACTCTTTTCCCGAATATGGAACGTGTGTGTGTAGCACGGGGGCTTTTTCAGCTCATTTCAATTAAAACCAAAGAGCATTCAAAAGCCAAACTAAAATCAAATAAAACAAATCCACAGCCAGCAAGATTAAAGTACAGTGGTACCTCAGGTTAAGTACTTAATTCGTTCTGGAGGTCTGTTCTTAACCTGAAACTGTTCTTAACCTGAAGCACCACTTTAGCTAATGGGGCCTCCCACTGCCGCCGCATGATTTCTGTTCTCATCCTGAAGCAAAGTTCTTAACTTGAAGCACTATTTCTGGGTTAGCGGAGTCTGTAACCTGAAGCTTATGTAACCTGAAGCATATGTAACCCGAGGTACCACTGTACACAAAAGACTGGCAGAATAAAACTTGCACGTAATTTGTCAGCTACCTAAGTCCTGTCTCCATGTTGGCCATTTATAATGGGGTTCTGCAGAGTTCTGTCTTATCATGCTGGTTAGCATCTACTTGAAGCTGCTGGAGGCTATTGGCTGAATTCTGCTGTCAACAGTATGCTGATGACAAGAAGCTGTACCTCTCCTTTCCATCTTAAGACAGGGAAGCGATCTTATCTATTCACTTAAGATATTTCTTAACCACCCTTCATCAGAAGTTTCCAGGGTGATGTACAACAAACCAGGGAAAGGATTTGCACAAGATATATATATAGTTTCTCTCTCTCTCTCTCTCTCTCTCTCTCTCTCTCTCTCTCTGTGTGTGTGTGTGCATGTGTATGTGTGTGCGTCCCTAAAGGAGTCACAAATTAAAAGGAAGTCTAAAACACAAGGGAAATGAAGAATCAATTCTGACTAAAATTCCATCTAAAAGGATTTAATCTGGCACTGGAGAGACTGGATAATTGGCAGAATATATACAGTGGTACCTCAGGTTACAGACGCTTCAGGTTACAGACTCCGCTAACCCAGAAATAGTACCTCGGGTTAAGAACTTTGCTTCAGGATGAGAACAGAAATCGCACAGCGGCAGCGCAGCGGCAGCAGGAGGCCCCATTAGCTAAAGTGGTGCTTCAGGTTAAGAACAGTTTCAGGTTAAGAACAGACCTCCGGAACGAGTGGTACCCCGGGTTAAGAATTAAGTACGTAACCGGAGGTACCACTGTAGAGTGGTACCTCTGGTTAAGAACTTAATTCGTTCCGGAGGTCTGTTCTTAACCTGAAACTGTTACCAGAAGAATAAGAAATCAAGATAACAAACTTTTTAGAAAGGAATGGAAATGGTCTATTGAGTATTTACAAACAAACTGTAAACAGATCAAGATATTGGCAGGATTATTGTAAAACCTGCAGTTTCAAAAATATATATGAGAATAGATAAATAAAGGAATAAGTTAAGATAATTTGGAGTATGCAGGAAAGGTCGGAAATAAATGTAAAGAATTGCAGAAAGGGTGAAGGGAGTCGAAGTTGAAAATGTTAAAATTATGGTTGAATAATTATTGTAATGTATATAAATAGAATTATATGTAAAAAAAGAAACTTTAATCCAGGGAACGCAGAAAATGCTTTGGTCAGTGGAAGTGCAGACCTAGTGATAGGGATACTGTAGTTTGTTTTGGGTGAGGTAGCACTCTACATTTAAAAAATCAGGTTTGTAGATTGGGGATCTGATGTTGCTTATATAATGTCAGGCTGGGTGTACACCAGACATTTAAAGGACATGAATTCCCCCAGAGAATTCTGGGAGCTGTAGTTTGTCAAGGGTGCTGGAAACTGTAGTGCTCTGAGGGGTGAGCTACAGTTCCTAGGATTCTTTGGGCAAAGCCATGTGCCCAAAGAATCTATGGTATAGATTTGCTTTCAGATGGTAGTGCTGACCAGAAGTATCTGAAATCATAGCTGTCAAGCGTCCCTTATTTGTCGGGACAGTCCCTTATCCCAGCGCCATGTCCCGCTGCTGTCCCTTATTGATGATGTCCCTTAAATAAGCTACTGAAGGTAATGGGGTCCTTTCTATGTCCAGCTGTCCTATGTCAACAATAAATTGTTGCTGTTTTTTTGTTTTGAGTATATGCTATATGGTAATTTATGGACCTAATAGGTATCTAAAGCCATTTGCATGCAACAAAATATGTATTTTATCAAAGTAATTGTTGATCCCTTATTTTGGCTGCTGATCCCTTATTTTCGAGGCTGCTGGTCCCTTATTTTCAAATCTGTAAGTTGATAGCTATGTCTTAAATTGGTGTGCCAACTAGTGTCTGTTCCTAGTCATGGTTGCACATGGCTTCAGAAACTGGATTACTGTGAAGCAATTTGAGGGGGGCTGCCTTTCAAGAGCATTTGGACATCTGGTTCAAACTGCAGCTATCAGAATTTTAACGAGCTTTCCTGTTCCTTTCTTATACCAACTTCACTGGCTGCTTGATTCATTTATGGGCCTAATTCAAGAGGCTGGTCATCATCTTTAAAGCAGTGGCGTAGCGTCAATTGCCGGCACTTGGGGGGGTGGGCAGGGGCCCAGCCCTTGCCACCCACTGCCAGAGCAATCCCACCCCCACCAAAGCAAAGCAGGGCTGTGCTGAATCACCAGCTTTAAAGCATATATAAAGGTAAAGGGACCCCTGACCATTAGGTCCAGTCGTGACCGACTCTGGAGTTGCGGCGCTCATCTTGCTTTATTGGCCAAGGGAGCCGGCGTACAGCTTCCGGGTCATGTGGCCAGCATGACTAAGCCGCTTCTGGCGAACCAGAGCAGCGCATGGAAACGCCGTTTACCTTCCCGCTGGAGCGGTACCTATTTATCTACTTGCACTTTGACGTGCTTTCGAACTGCTAGGTTGGCAGAAGCAGGGACTGAGCAACGGGAGCTCACCCCATCACGGGGATTCGAACCACCAACCTTCTGATCGGCAAGTCCTAGGCTCTGTGGTTTAACCCACTGCACCACCCACGTCCCTTACTTAATATATACATATTCTTGCACACACACACTTATACATACACGTACATACACAAACATATACTGTATATATAAACACACATACACTTATACATACATATATATAGATATAGATATATTGTGCTTGGGTTGCAGCTGGGGTGTTGTGATTGGCTGGTGCATCTGTTAATAGCTTGTATTTGCTTGTTTTAATCGGCTTCATTATATGTCACCTGGAAGTTTCAGTATGAGGCAACCAACAAATATAAGGATTATCTCCTACTGTGTATTCTGCTCCATCCGCTGTGATCAGCAGGAGTATCTTCTGTATATATCCTCCCACCATCTGGGCACAGTTGGTAGTAAAAAGGAACAAGGTCTTCTCTCTTGTTGCTCATAAGCTGTAGCATTCCATGCCATGCAGTTTTTATCTCCCGCCCCCGGCCTATTTGAAGAATTTTGTTTGTCCTTAGGCAAGCCTCTGCTTGATTCCCTGCCTTCTCCTTTCTCTTGCATTTTAGTTGTGTTCATGATATTTTTTTCTGTGTGCTTTCTTCTGTGTACTGCAAATCTCTTGGGTGCTCCACTGGAGTAGAAAAACATAAAGCTTTAAAGTTAACTGGTCTGTTTATAAAATGTTTACAGTCCTAGTGTCACATATGCTATAATTTATTGGAGCATAAAATTAACGTGGTTGGTTCAAGGACAGCCCCGCATAGACTCTGTTGCAGTAATCAAGCCTGAAGGTTATGAGAGTGTGGATTACTATTGCAAGGTTTCTCTGTTCCAAAGACGAGACACAGTGTTCAGAGCAGACATAGCATTCAGATGTTTAGTAATTTAAAGTATAGTCTGTGATGTTGAAGTTAGCAGTGGAAACTACCGTATTTTTCGCTCTATAGGACGCACTGGACCATAGGAGGGGGAGAAAAGGGGGGAAATTCTCCCCCTCTCTGCTCAGCACCCCTTCAGCGAAGTGGCAGGAGAAACGGAGCCCCTTCCATTTCTCCTCCCACTTCACTGAAGGGGCGCTGCGCAGAGAGGGAAAACTGTTCAGCGCCTCTCCAGCGAAGTGAAGCCTGGAGAGCAAGAGGGATCAGTGTGCACCAACCCTTCTCGCTCTCCAGGCTTCAGGCGGCTATCTGCAAGCCTTCGGAGCGCAGCGGGAACTCCTGCCACACTCCGAAGGCTTGCGGATAGCTGCCTGAAGCCCCCGGAGCGCAGCCTTTGAAGCCTCCACAGAGCAGCGGGGTGCCTTCACCCCGCTGCCCTGTGGAAGCTTTGCGCAGCCATCCCCAAGCTAGAACAGTGAGACGGAGCGCTGCACAGCGCTCCATCTCACTCTTCTGGCTTTGGGCTTAGCCGCGCAGCCTGCATTCACTCTATAGGACGCACACACATTTCCCCTTAATTTTTGGAGGGGAAAAAGTGCGTCCTATAGAGCAAAAAATATGGTATGTCTCATTTGGAATCAGAGGGTTGCTTTGAACACCAGCGCCCCAAAGCCCCCTTTTGTGCATTCACAAAAGGACTGTGCACCACTGGTCCTGTCCCACCGGTATATGTGTGCATATGCAGGGATATATGCAAGAAGGAAACCTAAGTGTGAGCTTCCACATGATGGGGAACCCCTGCAATCAGGAATGCCTCCCCATTTACTGAAAGCATTTGATCCGTATTTAGAACCTCAATTTGGAATTTATGGGTCTTCTAGCTTTCTCTTTGTTTGTAATACTGGGTCTCTTGGATGTGGCTTCCTGTCTGTGGGAGATACTAGTGCCAGCTTCTGCTGCTAGGAGAAAGATTAAAAATAATATATGAGTAAGACCCAGCATAGGGTTCTTTTCTATTTACTCATCCCCCCAGCTAACTCATTAGCAGTGGAGGCTGTGAAGGGCGTATAATTTACTTGGCTCGCATAGATAAGGAGGGCAGAGAACTGGACATGATTAGGAGGAAAGTTTATTCTCCATCAGCTCTGGCTTTCCAAATTGCCAATTATCAAGCCATTATGGGAAGATACCAGTTGTTTTTATGGAAGCATATCTCATCTTTTTTCATGGAAGCGTATGTCACTCCCAGATGAGAAGCAGTTGGATAAGGTTCCGCAGACGGAAGCGTTTAGACTGACCAAGCAGCAAATGAATACCGCTTGCCATCCAGCAGACTGCACGGGGAGGGAATATTGCTTCGTTTGCCTTTCTGAGAAAGCATGCATGACTTCTACCAAATGAGACAGAGAAGGCATGGGTGGAAGGTCATTCTCTCTCTTTCTCTTCCCCCTCACGCCCCCCATTTTGAGGGTTGCAAGTTGTTTAGTACTCCAAATGTCAGCCCTTTGGAGAAAGTCTTGAAGAAAATATTCAGCGCTGGATTTCTAGGAATCCTTGCATCTCTCGTTCTTTAAGAGGCAGTGTCAATCAGGTTTTAGGTCAAGTAGATTGTTTAAGTCACCAAAGGGGAACCAGCAGCATTTGTTCCCAGTTCCAGAAGTTGAAGGCAAGTTGTGCCTTCAGTACAGACAGTGGACTCAAGAAGTGATTCTCAATATAGTCTCTGTAGTCCGAGGGAGCTGGCGTTTGCCCGCAGACAGCTTCCAGTTCATGTGGCCAGCATGACTAAGCCGCTTCTGGCAAACCAGAGCAGCGCAGGGAAATGCCGTTTACCTTTCCGCCGGAGCGGTACCTATTTATCTACTTGCACTTTGACGTGCTTTCGAACTGCTAGGTTGGCAAGAGCAGGGACCGAGCAACAGGAGCTCACCCCGGCACGGGGATTCGAACTGCCGACCTTCTGATCGGCAAGCCCTAGGCTCAGCGGTTTAGACCACAGCACCACCCACGTCCCATGCTAAAGGCTGGTAGCTGCATCAAATGGTAAGGCATCCTTCATTAACCAGTTGATGAGCTGTCCAGCTGCACTAGCAAGGTGCGCTCTTGCATTTTAGAACCTCATGGCTGGAGTTGTCTTTTAAGGAACAGCTAGCTTGTATTTCCCAGTTTTCAGATTTCCCCCCAAAATTCTAATGTAAGTGTATATATTTCGAAAGAAAGAAAATGATAGCTGATATTACTGATAGCGTCTTCTCAGTGTAATCTATCAGAGAAAAATACGGTAAATCCAAGGATGGATTCTTGCTTCCAAGCCATAATAATAGGATGTTCTAAATTCAAACCCAGAATGATCAGATTACTTCATTTTGTTTGTGGATTTGTTGTTGTTGAGGTTATTGAGAACTACAGTGGTACCTCGCAAGACGAATGCCTCGCAAGACGGAAAACTCGCAAGACGAAAGGGTTTTTGGTTTTTTGAGTTGCTTCGCAAGACGATTTTCCCTATGGGCTTGCTTCGCAAGACGGAAACATCTTGCAAGTTTGTTTCCTTTTTCTTAAAACCGTTAATACAGTTGCGACTTGACTTCGAGGAGCAACTCATAGCACGCGGTGTGGTAGCCTTTTTTGAGGTTTTTGAAGACTTTGGTGATTTTTGAAGCTTTTCCAAAACTTTCCCGAAACCGTGCTTCGCAAGACGAAAAAATCGCAAGACGAAAAAACTCGCGGAACGAATTAATTTCGTCTTGCGAGGCACCACTGTATAGCCATATTTCTAAAGTGTGTGATGAGGGGGCTGAGTGTGTTTCACACATAAATGTGAATGATTTGAGACATCAGAAGATCAGCAGTTTAATATCTGTGTTATGTAAAACTCTCAGGTAGGTGCCACCTGGACATGGTAATTGGTTACTGTTTTACTGTTCGTAAGGCCATGTTGTCTTCTGTCATTACTATTTGTCTTTGGACTCCATGCAAAAAGTCAATTCAGGAATGATGTGCTTTGCATTTTCACAGTGACGACATGCACAAATAATTTCTTCAGGAGTCTCCCCCCCCTTTCCCTTTAGTTGTCCTGATTTTGTACACCTTTAATTCCCTTTGTAGTCCTGGGTGTAATTATGTAGGACAACTTTCACACAATTAACACATGAACGGGGTTAATGAGGGGAGGGGAGCCAGACTGAGTGAGGGAAGAGGGGTTAATCAGAGTAGGATGAGAGAGAGTATAGAACTAGGCCCCATCTGCACCATTCATTTAAAGCAGCATCATACCACTTTAAGTAGTCATGGCTTCCCTCAAAGAATTCTGGGAAATGCAGTTTGTTAAGGGTGCTGAGAATTGCTAGGAGACTCCTATTCCCCTCACAGAGCTGCAATGCCCAGAGTTCTCTGGGAACAGGAATTAAGAATTAAACTACACTCAGAACTGACCCATTTGTGGTCCCTGTGTGCTACACAATCTTGTTTAGCACCCTACTTAAAACCTGCCCCTGTCAACTTCACATCTGCTGGTTGTATGTGCTCCACTTCAAAGTCATTGTGCACCCCAATTTTTATGCTCTCTTCCACCTATAACCAGGGACCACATTCATTTCTGTCCATTGCAGCACCTCTGCATGTGCAACTACATTGAAATACATTTAGAGCCTATGCAATGCACAATTTACAGCACATGACTTCCACCAAGAGAATCCTGGGAACTGTAGTTTGTTGAGGGTATTGGGGGTTTTGAGTCTGGGGGAAAACTACAGTTCCCATAATTATCTGGGGAAAGCATGAGCTTTAAATTTCTGTTGGATGCACTTCAAACATATGGTGTGGACCTGCCTAGTAGCCTAGATTTATTTATTTTATTTCTTTATTGAATTTATAGAGCGCCCTATAACTGGAGATTGCAGGGTGGTATCCTTATCAGTCCTTGGTTTCCTCCCTTTCGTTTCTGTCAAGAGTAAGGGAGGAGAGGAGGCAAAGTGTAACTTTCCCCCCCATGAGGAAAGGAGAAGGATTCTATGTGATTCAGTTCTGTCCATTTTTCCATCCTATTGTCAGACTTCTTAATTATACAGTCTCAGCTGCCTATAAACTCTAATTCCAGCTTCCCACTGAGAATTCAATTTCAAGCATACGTTGGGGGGAATAAATAGTTACGCCCAACCTTTTTGTCTATGTAATTCTGGGTATTTTGCACCTTAGTAGATAGAGCATGGGACGCGGGTGGCGCTGTGGGTTAAACCACAGAGCCTAGGACTTGCCGATCAGAAGGTCGGTGGTTCGAATCCCCGCGACGGGGTGAGCTCCCATTGCTCAGTCCCTGCTCCTGCCAACCTAGCAGTTCGAAAGCACATCAAAGTGCAAGTAGATAAATAGGTACCGCTCCGGCGGGAAGGTAAACAGCGTTTCCGTGCGCTGCTCTGGTTCACCAGAAGCGGCTTAGTCCTGCTGGCCACTTGACCTGGAAGCTGTATGCTGGCTCCCTTGGCCAGTAAAGCGAGATGAGCGCCGCAACCCCAGAGTCGGCAACAACTGGACCTAATGGTCAGGGGTCCCTTTACCTTTACCTTAGATGGAGCATGAGACAAAGTTTGAGGTAAGCAGGCAGAAAGACAGACTATAACACCTTCAGAACGTTTTATATGTTTGTGTTTGGGGCATCGCTTTCCTCATACACCATAAGAATTCCAAGACAACAAGAGCAAAGGAAACCTTTTACGAATTGTTTTTGCTGACTTGCTGCTTTTACTCGGTTTGCTTAACTGCTTTTTCGCTGTCCCCTCTCGCAGGTTAGCTATGCTTCATCCAGCCGTCTGCTGAGCAACAGGAATGAGTACAAATCTTTCCTGCGTACCATACCCAATGACGAACACCAGGCCACCGCCATGGCAGACATTGTCGAGTACTTCCGCTGGAACTGGGTGGGCACCATTGCGGCAGATGACAATTACGGACGGCCAGGAATCGAAAAGTTCAGGGAGGAGACCGAGGAGAGAAACATCTGCATTGACTTCAGTGAGCTCATCGCGCAGTACTTGCCTGAGGACCAGATCCAGCAGGTGGTGAAAGTCATTGAGAATTCCACAGCGAAGGTGATAGTCGTTTTCTCAAGTGGGCCGGATCTGGAACCCCTGATCAAAGAGATTGTCACGCGTAACATCACTGGCAGGATTTGGCTGGCTAGTGAAGCCTGGGCCAGCTCTTCGCTGATAGCTATGCCAGAGTTCTTCCATGTCATGGGTGGCACCATCGGATTTGCTCTGAAGGCAGGGCAGATCCCCGGCTTCCGCAACTTTCTGCGGAAGGTGAATCCGAGGAAATCTGTTAACAATGGATTTATCAAAGAGTTTTGGGAGGAGACGTTTAACTGCTACCTGGCAGATAGCAACAAAAATTATCCAGGTTCTGCGTCTTTCCAGAAGAGCCGCGAAGAAGGCACTGGAGTTGGAAATGGCACAAGTGCCTTCCGCGCCCCCTGTACTGGGCACGAAAATATCACCAGTGTGGAGACTCCCTACATGGATTATACTCACCTGCGGATATCTTACAATGTATACTTGGCCGTATACTCCATTGCCCATGCTTTGCAGGATATATACACTTGCACCCCTGGGAAAGGACTGTTCACCAATGGGTCATGTGCTGACATCAAGAAAGTGGAAGCATGGCAGGTAAATTTTTCCGCCGCAGTTACAGAATTGCTGTACGCTGTGTTTACAAGACACAAAACTGAACACCATATATGCATTGTTAGAGGTCTTCTTCAGTGCTTTTAGCAAGAGCCTAACCATGGGAGGTATGGAGTGTTGGGTGATACATTCCCCTCTGGTTTCACAGACCCTACCAATAAGCCAGTGTATCTCAAACCTGGGTCTCCAGGTTGTTGGGCTACAACCCCCATCATCCATGACACTGGTTCTGATAGCTAGGGATGATTGGAGTTGTAGTCAAACAACAGCTGGACACCCAAGTTTGAGAAACACTGATAGGCTATGCTTGGCAACACCCCACCCCTGTTTTTGTTGTCAAAGGACGCATAGGAGCCCTCATGGAATATATCGGCATGCAGGAAGAGGAGACACTCTTCAGGGGTTAGGGCAGAGGAGGATATGGCAGGGAGCCAAATCATTTAGCTCACTGGTCTTCAGCTGTTGAGTCACAGCTTGAACCAAGGTAGGTTGCAACAGGCGCACCACCACCATGCAAATATATGGTAAAAGATAAAGAAATGTGTCCCGAAATGCATGTTTGGGTTAAAAGTGGGTCCTGGGTCTGGAAGGGCTGAAGATACTTGCTCTAGCTCACATTTTGAGTCAGTTCTACTATCTTTCTCCCTCTCTGCTACATTGGTTTGTTTAGTGATCCATCCATCCACTTTCACCCACTTCTTCATTCTGTTATTCCTCTCCACTTACTCTTTCAGGTTTCATGCACTGCTCCTTTTTATGTCCTTCAAAAAGCTTTTCTATTCCTTCTGTTCTCTTCTCTCTGTTTCTTCAGCGTCTCAGAAGCTCCCTAAATCTCTGGTTCAGCACGTTAGGACTAAACCTTCACAGGAAGGATTCACCCAAGAAGAAGATCCGGTATAGTGTGGCAGATGAGCGCTGCCTCTCCAGCATTGCCATGTGGATTCATTCTGCCATGCCTCCATCTCTTCTGCTCTCTCCCACCCACTGAAAAAGGAGGTGGGGTGGTAGCTCAGCAAGTTGAATGTGGGGGTCCTCTAGGGCTTGGTAGATATCAGATGAGCTCAAGAATCATATACAGTGGTACCTTGGTTTGCATACGTCTTGGTTTGCATACGTTTTGAATTACAAACACGTCAAACCCAGAAGTGCATGTCCCGGTTTCCAACCTTTTTTTGGATTATGAACAATTTTTTTTTGGGAGGCCTCATTGGCGAAAGCGCGCCTTGGGTTACAACCTGTTTTGGTTTACAAACGGACCTCTGGAACGGATTATGGTTGTAAACCAAGGTACCACTGTATATTTCTTTTAAAATTCCCCATGTGTGTGGGACACATACACTTTCATTCAATAATATGCCTCTTTCATTTTTGCTCTTCCTCTCTGCTATCTCTAAGGGTAGGTTTTTATGTCTGTGCATCATAATGCGTACTGCATCCCACCCCCCTTGATATGGTGAGCTGCACCTGAATTTTAGAGGCATGGTATTGTTATAGGATTGAGGGGCTTGGTTTGGACGCCTGTTTGGTCCCCTCCAGGATTTTGTAGTAGAAGGAACTGCTGAAGTGGTCAAACCAGTCTCTTAGTTAAGTTAATGGCTGTTTTCAAGGCTGTTAAGCATCTTATTTACATGACTAAAGAGTTGGCCTGTTGGCTATTAAGCAACTAGCTTGTGATTTCTTTCTTACTCATATTCAGATTTTATACCGCCTTTTATCTGAAGATTCCAGGGCACAGTACAACATTAAAAGCATCATTTACATAGCACAATAATAATAATTAATAAATAAAACAATCACAGAAAAAGAAATAATAATAACAGTCCCCCGCCCCACTTTTAAAAGGCCACACATTGTTTAATGGCCAAAGGTCTGGATAAAGAGGAATGTTTTCACCTGGCACCTAAAGATGGCACCAGGCAAGCCTCTCTGGGGAGAGCATTCTACAACCAGGGAGCCACCACCAAAAGGCCCCGTTTTCATGTTGTCAACCTCTAAACCTCTCAGGGACCAGGGATACAGAGAAAGGCCTCAGATGACAAGCCCTGGGTTTGGGTCGGTTCATATGGGGAGAGGGGGTCTTTAATATATTGAGGTCCTGAGCAGTGAATGCTTTCAGAAGTAGAGTGCAGGCCTCCCCCCCACCTCTCCTGGCTTAAGGCCATGTCATACAAGGTGTTGGATAATGACAGACCAGAGTCCAGTTTTTGACTAGTCTTGTCTAAAGCTGGGAAGACTTGCTCCCTGTTCTGAAACTCACTGGTGGAACAAGATCTGCTGGAGGGGCTGATGGCATTAACACCCCATCTTATGCTCAGCTTGTATAGATGTGTCAATAAAACCATATGTCACAAAGACACCACAGTCTCCAGAGACTTTCATTCAAAGGAAACGGAATCCCTGAAGTCTCTCACTGCTGTGGGATTAGTGATGAAAGCTTAGGGTCTGGGTCTCTCCATCCTGGGGTTGCTAATGAGGGCATTCGTGAGCACTGGGTTGGTAACCTCCAGAGTACATTGTACTATAAAGGAGAGGATTTTTTTCACATCAGGTAGCAAGATGTGTGCAGCAAGTCCAGTGTTTGTAGCTATCCCCATCTGAAGTTGACCCTGAAGTTCTCCATCTGCGCTTGTACCAGAGTAGATGGTCGTGTGCAGAAAGCAAGTGCCACTCTTGTTGGTGGGAACTGGCTGTTTTGTTCTGGTGTTGTTTAAATTACGAGGAGTTGTAGCAGATGACTTAGCAAGTCATCCATAAAATATTCGCAGAGGGAGGCTGGTAGTTTGACTCTGTGTCACTGGGTTCATCTAATGGGAAACTCCTGAGCGTCAACGAAACACTTATTTCAACAGATTAATCTCTGTAAAACACTGGCGCGCTCCACGTAGTGACATTTGCCTTTCCATTAATCAATAGATGGACTTTACCAGGGGTTTTTTTATATAGATATAAAATAATTCAAAGTCCATATTGTTTTCAGTCTTAGGAAAACAGTAGGTGGATCTGATAGATTAGTTGTAGAGCGCGTGGTTTGCATGTGTGATCAGTATTATTATTATTATTATTATTATTATTATTATTATTTATCAGTTGCTTTCCTCAAAAAAGCATCTCAAAGCGACTTTACAAACAGTAAAACAAAATTACAAAAAACGCAACTAATTAAAAACCTAAAACACAACCACACACCCCGTACAATTAAAAGTCAGGTATTACAGTTGCTGCCTCACTTCAAATTAAGAGCTGAAAACTGAAGAAAAGGGAAAGCTTTTGCCTGGTGCTTAAAATTGGATAAAGATGGCACCACTGAACATCATGATGTGTCGTGGTTTTATTGTCACTAGCACAATATATACTATTTTGTACTTGAAGGAAGGAAGTAGGAGTGTATGGTTGAAATTATGGTTGACAGCAAGATAGGAAATGCTGTTTATATAGGAGATGATTTGGGAAAAAGCACACCATGAATGCCGTGACAGGAACCGCTATAACAGAAATGGAAAGGGAGTTAGGAGATCACAATTTACGGTGATGTATTGACTGGAAATAGGGACGCGGGTGGCGCTGTGGGTTAAACCACAGAGCCTAGGACCTTCTGATCGGCGGTTCGAATCCCTGTGACGGGGTGAGCTCCCGTTGCTCGGTCCTAGCTCCTGCCAACCTAGCAGTTCGAAAGCACGTCAAAGTGCAAGTAGATAAACAGGTACCACTCTGGCGGGAAGGTAAACGGCGTTTCCATGCACTGCTCTGGTTCGCCAGAAGCGGCTTAGTCATGCTAGCCACGTGACCCAGAAGCTGTACGCCGGCTCCCTCGGCCAATAAAGCAAGATAAGCGCTGCAACCCCAGAGTTGGTCACGACTGGACCTAATGGTCAGGGGTCCCTTTACCTTTACTATTGACTGGAAATCACAGAACAGGATGTGGATCTTAAGGTATGGGTTAATCCATAAATGACTATAGTTTCAGAGAGTAGCATCAGCCCCGTGACATTTTTGCTGTGGGGTCCCAAAGGGTATTATTTGGTCCCAAATTTTAACATCCATATGAAGCCGTGGGGAATGGTCACTGGAAAATTTGGAGAGAGGCTTCACTGGCATGTTGATGATACACAGCTCTGTTTCTCGGTTGTGTCTGAGTCAGGATAGGACCCAGACCATTACAGTGCCACAGATGGGGGACTTAGGTTGAGAGAATAGCAGTTTGCCTTTAGCCACATTGAACACTCATTCACAAAATAAGCTGCCATTCAGCATTTAGTCTCTTCACCTATTTGATGGTGGTTTTTTGGTGGCATGCTGAACTGCAGTTTGTCCATTATCATGACTGATAGCTTAGTAATGTCCTTCACACATGTTTGCCCAGCAGTAAGTCTTACTGAACTAAATGGAGTGTACTCCCAAATAAATGTGCATAGACTTGCCTTCTTAGCACCTTATGAACTACAGTACATTAAAAAAAAAACCAAGCCTACTAGACGGTCTTCTAAGGCTGTAAACCATCTTGAGATTGGTGTGGAAGATTATATATAAATATGTTTTTTAAAAATGCTATGGGTTGTATCCAACAATTAATCTTCCCCACAGTAGACCCAGTACAGTTTATGTACCCAAGTTACTGTAGTCATGTATTCTAATTTTAACAGAGCAGGTCTACTCCGAATAGGATTAATATTGCATATATTGTCGTAGAATTGTATCCAAGTGGGACCCTGCATCAGCGTGCTTTAATGGTACAGTGGTATCTTGGGTTACATACGCTTCAGGTTACAGACTCCGCTAGCCCAGAAATATTACCTCGGGTTAAGTACTTTGCTTCAGGATGAGAACAGAAATCGTGCTCTAGCGGCGCGGCGGCAGCAGGAGGCCCCATTAGCTAAAGTGGTGCTTCAGGTTAAGAACAGTTTCAGGTTAAGAACGGACCTCCCGAACGAATTAAGTACTTAACCCGAGGTACCTCTGTATAGCATGTATGTATGCAACCTACA